AAATTCAATCTTCAACTGTTAATACATTCTAAAAATTTTGGAAAAAAAAATTTCAATATTTTTTTCGTACTCCCCAAGGGAGCCTCTATCACCCGTTAGAAGGAATGACGCCAATTTTGAATCACCCTGTGTACATTGTCAAACAAGTTGTGCAACAGATGCTTCTGAACATAACTTCTCCACTGTATGGCTGGGTTTAATACATTGCACAATTACGCAACTATTCAAACAATTACGACACAGTATATTATACAGGGCTATCCATTTTAGGCTTGGGAAAGTAAAGTAACAAAAAACACAAAATATTAAGATGGAGACGAAACTTTTAAGTCAATATAAATATTAAACCTTGCGTGAAGGTTATATTATTATACGTGAAAAACAATACAATTTAAATGTCCTCGACGGGACATCCTACAGGCCTCAATCCTTTTGATGTAATTTTGAATGACTTCGGCACATTACCGGTAATATCTCGGTCATAACTTGATAGATATTGGTTTTCAGTTGCTCAAGAGTTTGAGGATTGTTGGCGTAAAGACGATCTTTTGCATAACCCCACAAAAATAAATCTAATGGTGTTAAGTCGCAGTATCTTGCTGGCCAATTGACATCACTCAATCTCGAAATTACTAGTCCTGGAAATTTCTCTTGCAAAAGGGCTCTAACTGTTAGTGTTGTGTGACTCGTTGCCCCATCCCGCTGGAACGACATGCCTTCCAGATTATAATCTTCAATTTCTCTCCAAAAGTAATCGGTTAACATGCGTCCATAGCGCTTAGAATTGACTGTTATGGCTGTTCCGTGATCGGTTTCAAAAAATACGGGCCAATAACACCTCAGGACCATAGTGCACACCATACGGTCACTTTTTCAGGATGTAAGGGTAATGGTGCGATCACCTGAGGATTTTGAGAGCCCCATATACGGCTGTTCTGTTTATTCACGTAACCATTGAGCAAAAAATGAGCCTCATCGCTGAAGAAAATTTGGTTAGAAAAATCATCATCAATGGCTTGTTGTTCAATCACCCAACTTGCTTATGTTCTGCGTTGCCTTTGTCTTGAGGCTTAAGTTGTTGAGTCAGTTCGACTTTGTACGGATGGAGCTTCACATCCAATTGCAAGATTCGCCACAATGAGCCGTGAGACAAGCCCAAATGTTGAGTACGTCGGGGAATCGACGAATTCGCGTCTTCCTCCACACTTTGAGCATCAACAGCGATATTTTCAGTTGAACAAATGTTACGATGATGCACAGGCATCCAGTATCTTCACATTTTTGCACTGTGTTCGAAATTGTTTGCTCTGTGGGTCAATTATTTCGATCGAAATCTGCTCGTAAAGCCCTAAATTGATGCAGCAGAATCATCATTTTTATAGTAACATTTAATAATTTTTACGCGTTTGTCGATAGTTAAACGATCCATATTCCAAAATGGCAAACATTCAACAAAACAAAAACGCTTCGGATGACGTTTACATTTAACAGATATCAAATAGCAAGATTTTACTTTCCCAACCTCGAATTGGGTAACTCGTTATATTCAATATATACGGTACGGTTTATAAACCACCTTGGATATCGCATCTCAGTTTGTTTAAATTCTACGAAAACCTACTACTTAAACCAAATTCTACTTAAACCAAAAAGTAGATAGTACTACTTTTGGCATGGCCCTTTTCACCATTCCTCCTCCATCCATCCCCACCTTAGCACTGTGAGTGTAGAGATCCCAAGGAGAGGAAGAAGAGTCCAGAGCACAGTGGAATGTCAGAACGTGAACGAGGGTTTGCAGGACCCAGCGACTCCTTGATATCCACCACTTGGATGTTGCTTTGGCGTCACTTGGGGTTCCAATCAACTCTTTGGCTTGTCCAAACCCTTCCGCCTTTCTCCACATTTCGTTGGTGCCTCTAAGAGCCCAGTCATTTAGAGGGCTGGCTACCTTTGGTTACTTAACCCTATGTGAGGGCCGGCAGCTGTTGGGCTTCCAGAAGTTCCGAGCCTTGCCAATGCTTTGGCTTGCTTGTTTCCCGCGAATCCTACTTGCGCCGGAATCCACACAGGCTTACTTTGTTCTGTTCTGTCACTTTGTTCAGGGTATACCAGCAATGCTGGATCAGCCAACTGCGCATCTTAACATTTAAAAATACCCTGAGGGTAGCCTGGCTGTAGGAGAGAATCTTGATCACTCCCCCAAGTTCTTTATATATTGGTCCTCTTGCTTTTAAAACCATCAGACTCTCTCTTCAGTAGAGTAAGTAATTTGGAATAACTTGCTATATTTATATAGTGATGAATGTTAGTAGTAGTAGTAGTAGTAGTAGTAGCAGTAGTAGTCGTAGTAGTACTGTGGGGGGGACCCGAATGGATCCGGCGAGTAGGGGCCTCAGAGGCTCTTTTCACCATTTAACTCTTTGGCTTATCTATACCCTTCCGCCTTTCTCCACGACTCTGCGGTACCTTCAAGGGTCCAGTCGTTAAGTGCGATTGCTACCTGTCTGTTACTTATCCATATGTGAAGTTCGGCAGTTATTGGGCTCTCAGATGATCCGCGCCTGGCCAATGTCGTTCCCCGCGAACCTCATATGCTCAGGAATCCACACCATGTTTACCTCTTTCTGTTCTGCAACTTTATTCAGAGCATCGCAGCACGCCTGGATGAGTCTGCTTCCCATCCTAACACTGATAAGTGCATTTAGTTGGGCCTGACTGTCAGAGTAGATCTCAATCTCTCCTTCTAGTCCTTCTACGACCTCCTTTTCTGTGCCAACCTCAAGGATTGCATATAATTCTGCCTGAAGGACTGTGGTTCAGCCTCCCAATGAAATGGATGCTCCCCGATTGGTGTCTTATCGGTACACTCCTGCTCCGCATAATTCTGTACTGAGAGCACTTGAGCAGTTGTTGTACCAACATTGCACCCTCTCGGGCAGTCACCGTCCTAGATGTCCAGCTTTCTTTTGCTGGGATTTTTACCTTAAACTTCCTTTCTAACCTAAGTCCGCTGTCAGGTGAGGCCACCTTTGCACCTATTCTTTCGTGCCCCTGACATGGGTAGGTGTCGCGCCTCGTGGATCCGCATTCTATCCTCTAGCCCCGTGGTGGCCTTCCTGCGTATCCACAGGAGTAGTTCTGGGAGGCCTAGGAGGATATTCAATGCTAAACTCGGCGTCGTCCTCATTGCTCCAGTCTTCGCTAAACAGGCCATTCTTTGCAAACCCGCCCGTTTCCGGGATACAAAGGCCTTCTCCACCGCCGCCTACCAGACCGCGGAGCCGTATAGTCGGCCTTATGACGGCAGTGTACAACCACTTCATAACCTGTGGTTTCAGGCCGCAGTTTTTTTCAGTAGCCTTCTCTGTAACTTTCTCTGCGTGGGGGTTCCACGTGAGTTTACTGTCTAGGGTCACCACGCCTAGGTACTTGACCTACTCCGCGAGGGTAAAAGGCTTTCCGTACAGCTATAATTATCTTCTCTTTGTAAAGAGCATGGTCTCCGTTTTGCCGAAATTAACTGATAATCCAGCATCAGTGCACGATCTCTCTATTGTGATGTATGTTAAGAATGTTAACTGTTGTTTGTAACATAGAATAAAAGCACCAAAGCGAAGGTTTCATCTTATGATAATTCTTGGAAGTAAATTGACAATACATTATCCGAAAATGATCTAATAATATCAATTTTCAATCTCCAACACATGAACTTCTGATAAACAGCTTCATTTCTTTGACGAGATTTTGTTAGTAGCAAGTTGTTTGTAGTGGCTTTTGCTATTTGTAAAATATTTGGAAGTGTTAACGTTTTAGTTTCACTTTCGCTTAACATTCTCTAAAGAGGTATTTAGTAACCGTTGAGATTCAAATTACTAATTTAATAATAATATTTGACGAATAATATTATATCAGTTTTTAACGGTGACAGGACTGTCCGTCTGATTTACAGTGCGTTTGGTTTACAATGCGCAAAATGTAACTTACTTAGATGGTAGGTAATGTGTTGCATACTACTTACAGTAGTGGTCGTAGCTAAGTTTCGTTTAGGTACTTATCCATAACCTTCATTGCTATTTGCAAAATTGATAACAATGAACCTAAAAATTCACAAAGAAGGCATGTAAATGCAATGACTTCTCTATGACTCGCTTACTCGCGGCAATAGAAGTCAGAATAAACTTTTAGCTTCAACATGAAAATATTGATAAGTAGAACATCAACAAATAATAAACATACAATAAATTAAGAATATGCGTACGTTTTCCAAAGGGACACATGCTTTAAGCTTTACTCATTGCACATATTAGTGCTGCGTTGGGAGACAAATCACTCCGTAGACAGACATAAGAGAATCTACTATTTGTGGCCTGTTCCGTATTTGTTAAACGGAGAAAACCTACAAGGTAATATACACATGGATGTATAAATTACAACAGCTGTAATATATGGGACGCTAATTAAGTAGCACCTTATTATCTGAAATAAAGTGAAAAGACAAATTGTTTAGAAGAAAGTGAGTGTGGAAAATGTATGCTAATTATTTTCACTGATTAATTGATGATAATGGCTTTTCCGTACACAGCCAGATGCATTGCAAACTACACTTTCTGCTTCCCGACTATTTCAAGGGTGTTTATCTAAACAAAAATAAATTTTGTTGATTACTGCTCTTTATTTTTTATAACGTCAAAATTTAAGTAAAACCTGTAAATTTTGAATAACTAGTTACTCAAAATTTGCTAATATGTATATGCTAAGTTGACAAAGGTAATTGTATTACTTGAAAATTACGGATTAACAAATTTGATCTACTCGTCGAAAATTTAAATATAACATGGCGGTAGAGCGCAAGTTGATATCGCGCCTCTATCAGCCATGGAAACATCGTCAGAAAAATCGCTTGGTAACATTGGTCGATTCTTATGTTTCTTCAGTTCTAGGTTGGCTTCTTGTATTGCTTCCCACAATTTCGCTTCTGACATAATTTGCCTAGACAGGTCTTCAACGGAAGGTTCTGCGCTTAACTCCAATAAGCTGTTAATTGAATTTTCCATTTCTTGACCGTCGGAAAACAAGGCGGGAAGGTTGGAACGCTTTCGACCACAACCTAAAAAAGATTCTATATAGAGGATGCCCCAGATAAGGATTCATTGCATGGGGGTCTCCGAAAAACTCTATGTATGTGATGTGTATTCAAGATTAATAGACATGTTAGAAGCAAAAAGTAAAATTTGAAAAAAAAAAAGAATAGTTGACAATGGTTTCAACGAAACAAAACGTTGTAATATATTTCACCATCTTGCAGCGCTAATCTTGCAGGACATCATCTTGCAGCGCTCGAAAAGTTGCCGGAAAACATTTTTCTCTGTTGATATGATTTAAAATTACTTCAAAAATTAAAAAGAACGAAAATTCAAAAATAACTTTTTTTAATATATCAAGAATTAAAAGAAATACTTATTTTTTGAAGACAACATGTATATGGCCCTCTAATTGCGCAGCTTTTTCCTGATTTATCCGACTTCATTCTCTTACGGTTTCGGAGATCCCTATGTAATGCAACCTTATCTGGGACACCCTGTACGTACATTGTTGTAATAGAAACAATTTAAATTATGCTTTCTTCTGCTTTGCGGTTTTAAGGACTAAGCTATTCATGAGCACGTGCATTTCATATCGGAGATCGGTTTATAAAACATAATCGGTGGTAATTCTCTTCTTTCTTGAGACTCGAGACGTACGCAAGAATAGTTTCTCAACAAACGGATTGAATGTTCAAAATTCATAAACAAAACACAAAAACTACAAAAACTCTATCATGAGATTTATGAACAAAAAAAAATACTTAAAATACATCATATTTTCAAATTGCGCGTATGTGGGTTCTAATCTCAGAGTAATGGTTTTGGTTTTAAATTTTTGTGACTAAAAATAGTTTTGATAGTAATCAAGAATGCACAATCAACGTCAAGAAAGTTGAGACACCACTGTTGCGGATAATGTAGGAGGATCAATATAGGATTTTCAATATTCAAAACGTGCAAAGGGTGTAGCCAGGAGAAGTTATTATACTTCATTTTTTTACCACGGATTTTTGAAATCGTGTAATTAGAAGTAACAAAATGATTTCTCATAAAGATCAATCTACAAAAATCGTGTGCTTGATTTTAATAACTCACATGGTTCCCTCCTATGTGACTCATGTTTTGATGAAGCAACCGATATAATCCGTTTTGGGGAAGTAAGGAATTCTTGAGTATTTTAAATATAATAATATTAAATATTTGAAATTTAAAGCGAGTTTTACTTATTCATGGTATCATTTTCCAGATATTTAAAAACATATTTTTTACACAACACAACCACTGGACATGTTTGTACAGGATTACCGGTAGCAGATCAAAACAGTTTAATAGCACTAGTACGCAAAACTCCACGGCTGGTACTATTACACTATGACGTTTAAAGGTCGAAATAAAATGGAGTTTAACTTTTGGTCATGAAAAAGTTTTTCTCCACTAAAAACTCTGCAAAAATCTTATCTTGTGCTGTTTTCATATGCAACGTTATTATTTTTTTTATTGACCCCATGGGAACCATACAATCTGTTCTACAGAACAATAAGTAATCTTTGTGACTTAAACGTAATGAGACATGTAGAGATGATTCTCCAACAAAAACCTCTCTTTCTTAATTATTTAAACAGTTCCTATTGTGTCGACACAAGTCGTAAAAATTATTATTATTATATTAAGAATTAAACCTGTCAATTAGGTCCGTCGGCTTAAACCGTTTGAGCCGGCACATTTCACCAGTTGTTTCAAACAAATCGGAAGCAAGTACATTTGGGTGGACTCTGATTCTGTCATTATACTTTTTAGTAAAGCGTTTCATTTCACTTTTGATCGATGGCATCTGTAGGTCATTTTATATAATTTGGTTCGGAACATACCATGGTGCGTTGGTCATCATGCGTAGGACTTTATTCTAAAAATGCTGAAGAATTTCCAAATTGTAACTGCTAGCCGTTCTCCACAATTGTATTCCGTACGTCCAAATCGGTTTTATAACGTTTTTGTATACCAGTAGTTTGTTCTCAAGGTTTAACTACGATCTCCTGCCGATAATCCAGTACAGCAGTTTAAAGCCCGTGTCCCATGCATCCGTTTATACCATGGTACGATGACACGAAAGTGTTTCTATTGGTTGGAGATCTGTCAATTCGTCCGCCGCCGTACGAACTGACAGATCTCCAACCAATAGAAACACTTTCGTATCATCGTACCATCGTATAAACGGATGCATAGGACACAAGCCTAAGGCCAAGTCCTTTTCTTTTAGAGAAGATATGTTTTTGCCACGTTAGTCTTCTATCCAAGTGCAGCCTAAGATATTTTGCACTGTTCCTCTTGTCCTAGCTGGCAGTTGTTTAGGACAACCAGTGGACAGTTCTCTCTTCTCAGTGTAAAGGTAACGTGTACTGATTTACTTGCATAGGCTTTGATTTTCCATTTTTGTAGCCATGTTTGGATTTTATTTAAATGTAATTGCAAGTTATTCTATGCTTTCTGGGACAAATGTGTGAAGCTAGTACCGCTATATCGCCGGCGAAAGTTGCTACTGTTATTAGCCTATTAATTGGCAGATGGGCAGTAAACAGTAGGTATAGTACCGGACCCAACACGCCCCCTTGAGGAACTCCGGAGTTTATAGCGTACAGGTCGCTGTATTCGTATTGGTATCTAACCAGGAAATGCCTATCAGACAAGTATGATTGGAGAAATTGGTAGGATGGATGAGGCATGAATTTCTTCAGCTTGTAGCATAAACCGGTATGCCAGACTATATCGAACGCTTGTCCTATGTCTATAAATGCTGTGGAGCAGTACCGTTTGTGTTCAAGGTCGTTATTGATTTGTTTTACGATCCTATGAATTTGCTCTACAGTCCCATGTCTGTTTCGAAAACCAAACTGATGCTGAGGTATAAGTTTTCTCTCAAGTAGGATTGGCTCAAGTCGTTTGAGGAACAGTTTTTCAAATAGTTTTGATATTATTGGCAATAGACTTATTGGCCTGTATGATGTCAGCTCGTTTGGGTTTTTGCCTAGTTTGGGTATCATGATGCTTTCGGCTACTTTCCACTGGTGAGCGAAGTGGCCGTGTAAAAGGATAGCATTGAAAAATTATACTATTGCAGTTATACCTTTTTTCGTCAATTTCTGCAGAATTTTTCTAGTGATGAGATCGAACTAACGAGCTTTGGCTATCTAACTGGTAGGGTGCACTAAGGAGGCTTTCTAGTTCTTGTCTTTCTTCTTGGGTTGATACTAGATCATGAGGTTTAAAAATTCCAGAAAGATGCTCTGCAAACGAGAAGGCCTTCTCTTTACTGCTTCTGGCCCACTTCCCAGCAGCGTCCCTCAGGGGTGGGACTGCTTGTTGCGGTCTCTTCAGTCTTTTCGTGGCTCGCAATAAGGAGTATTCTGTTGCTTCAGTAGCGGACAGCCTTTCCAGATATTCTTGAACCGACCTGTTTTCCAATTTTTGCAGCAAGTTTTATGGTCCTCTAGTTACCTTGGTAAGGTTCCTTTTATCCACCTCCAACCTGGTTAGCTGCCATTTTTTCTCAATCTTCTTTTTTTAGCAATTTTTTATTTGGCAATAATCGGGCATGTCTTCTTTGATTTATCGGATTTCGGCTTCAGTGTGACTTCCCAAGCTGATGTTTGGATGGCAGTTGCAAGTCTTCACTGCTGTTTCGATGTCTCCTGGAGTTTTAAGGGGAATCTTGAGCTCAATGTTTCTTGAAATGCGTCCCAGTTCTTCTTGGAGTTGTGAAGTGTAGGCAGTTTGGTTTTTTCAACTATATTGGAGAGAATTGTTAAGATTACGGGAGAGTGGTCTGAAGAAGGTCTAGGCTTGTTTCCACCTTGAGGTAATGGTTGTTGACGCCTTTCAAGATAAAGATGTCTATCGCATAATGTATTTTGGCTGGATCTGTTGGCCAATATGTGAACTCACCAGTTTGCGAGATGACTCAAGTTAGTAGAAGTCAATAACTCTCTGCCTTTGGTGGTCATTAGCCTCGAGCCCCACTGCTTGTGCTTGATATTGTAGTCGCCTCCAGCAATGAACCTATTGTCGAGTGTCCTGAAGAACCTTTCATAGTCTTCTTTTTTGTTGTTACTGTCACTTTTGACTTTTATCAATTCTGTCCATTTGTTTAGTCCGGCCATTTAGCATTTTGATTCCACTCATATTTGAAGTGGGTATCGCGGGCTGCTCACAATTCTCAAAACAAATTTAAGTGCTTGGTATTTATTATAATATTTTTATTTAATAAATTGAGATTATTTACCCCTAAAACTGGTTTTTTTTTGAAAAATTGGCTTTTCCAAACGTTCTACAACAATGCCGTACGAACAACACATAATATAGCTTGTCGAAATCCTCTATGGCAAGCTGTATGTATCATAGAGGGTTTCGACAACGGTACGATACGAACGGTCACCATTTCAGTTTAGGTTTATGACGGCACCGATCCGATACCCATAGGCTGGGGAGTGAGACAATGAGATACAATCTCCCCGAAACTATTTACTATTGTTCTAGAGGATATACATATTCAAAACGTCTGAATGCGAAAATGCCGGGATTAACATCAACAGTGAACACTTGAATAAAATACGCTGTGCAGATGACATCGTACTCCTCGCAGACCAAAAAGACTTCCAAACTATGGTTTCAGCCCTAAACTATGCCGCAAAAAATCACAGTCTCCAGATCAACGCGAGTAAAACAACATTAATTTCAAACTCACCCGACGTTACGACGCTCGATTTGTGTGACAACAGTGTTGTGCAGGTCTTTGGTAAATACGTATATCTTGGACCAAAAATATCCTTCAATGAGAACATACAGCTCGCTGGAATCAACAGAAGGATACTACTTGGATGGAAATACTAGACTCAATAGCGTCTTTAAGACAAAATATCCACAACACCTTAAAATTCAGGCCTTCAACCAATGTGTGCTACCAACGATAATCTATACCGCAAACGTGGATACTAAGGGGCAAATTAATTGACACACTAAGAAATACACAAAGAAAAATGGAACGAAGTATGCTGACAATACGAGCAAGCTAGAAAACTATCGAATGGATCCGCCCTTAAACAAAAGTAATTGATATTGCTGATCACGTGGCAAGACTGAAGTGGAGATGGGCAGGACATCTCATGAGAACGAAGGACAATAAATTGGCAAAAAAACTGACCGAATGGCGACCAAGGGGATGCAGAAGGCCAAGGACTAGGTGGAAGAACGATATCCAGAAAGTAGCGGGAGTGAAATTGATGCGTAGAACAGCTGACAGAACCGGAGAGAGATAACTTAGACATGCGCATGTCCAAGGATGGACCGAGACACACTGAAAATGATGATGATGAAAGATGGCTAATATGTTACCGGTTAAATGTTCAATTGATGCAGGTATATATAGTTTGTAGACTTACTAAAACATAACCATACGTCCCTACAAGTATGATTCAAACTTGTCGTCATTGTTAGTTTACTTCTTGAAGATGTTAGTCATTCAAAAGCACTTCAATTTTGAACAAGGAAAAGCTATCGGCATTAGCAGAGCCGTCATACACATTTCAGTTCAATTTGGCTGTTCAGGAATATGTAAAAGTTTTTAAGAAGTCAATTGACAAATTATTAGTATAGCTAAAAATTGATAAGTACTGTAACTCTCTTTGTCATTTTGAGCAGAAATACAAATTTCTTATCGTATCATGACTTAATGCATGCATACTTAATATAGACTTACCAGTAAATGCGTTGCAAAACGGTCGCTTCTTTGGATCTAAAATTATTCTTTCCCTGGCACTAAGCACAGGATCCATCTGAAATAGCGAAAATTATATAAATGCTATTTATATAACTCATCTGTAAAGTTACCCGTTTTGGAATGAATAATGCATCCAACTCGATGATAAGAATCATTGCTGTGGAATAGAGAACTACGGATATTAACGTCAACGCAGTCATATCTGAAACAAATATTTAAAATAGGCCTGGGTAACACAGGAGATTCTCGGGCGTTTATACAGCGGTACCGATACTAAGCCTGAGTAACAGTGTGTCTTGTCTGTGTCAACACCTCGCCTCTTACGACGCGACACCTTGAACAACACTTAATATTTAAGCTCATTTAAGAGGGCAGACTTCGGACTGCAAGTTCGCAAGGCCACGCGCAGTTACTATAATTATGATTTCCGACCCTCTCGGCAGGAATTATTTACATTATAAAGCCGCACGAACGACTATCGAATTTTGAAGCCACCTAGAGAGATCTATAATTTATCTCATTTTCAAATTCTCATTCTTACATGTTATACTCGTTACGTTATATTTTTTACGTTACGTTTATTACGTTATAGTAGCGTTAGTAGTACACGTTATAATACTTAAGTTCGCATCATATAGGAAACTTTTTATGATTAATTTTAGGAAAAAGTGTTATTCTTCATTAAATGTTCTATTTGCACCGAAACCTAAAACGCAACCATCAGATTTTTTTCAGTCGTATACGAGGTATATTAGAAAATATGAATTTTGCTCGAGGATAAAGTACATCAATTTTTGACAATATCGAAAATTGTTATTAAGAAAAGCTAATTGGAGTTGAAAAGTAGGTTCGGATATCTAATTTCACATAACTATGATGGACATTAACTTTTTTGGTTATTGTTTGTTTAAGTTGGTTTGATATGGAAAACTCTTTTACTCTTCATAGAAAGTTCTGCATATTCTAAAGTCTAAAAGACAATCATCAGATATCAAATTTTTTAGTCGTACCCTTGTCCAATAACATCTGCGAAAGCAAATTTTTAGAGAAACATATGAAAAGTTCTTTTTTGCAAAAGAATAAAAATGTTACAAATCCAGATAATAACAAAGTCAGTCGACGAACAAGGCCAAAAACCTAATTTAAATGGTTTTATACCAGAATGCTATAAAGATGCATAAAGCATACGCAAAGGAAGAAAAGTCATTCGGTCGTAATTTATGGTTGACCCGGCGAATTTGCGACCAAATTAATAGAAACAAGTGACAAGTTTCAGATCCAAAAGAATATTTGTCATGAGGCAAAATGACATGTCACAGAATCACAGATACTTGGAGCCGGTATGAGTTTGGAACATTCACACATGGAACATGTTACTCAAATATAAACAAATAATTTCAATGAATATTATTGTTTTCATTAAAACAACGCAACCTGCTTGTTTCACGGTCTCTCTTCAGCAAAACCACAGAAAAAGAGATTTAGCGCTCTGCATCTACGAGCAAACTTACGAACCACTGCACGTCACAAAACACAGCGTCCTCTATCATCTCCCAACACATAAAAAGTGAGGCGCGCTGCATCGCTGTATCGACACAGCAAACCATATCGGTATCGCTCTATAGACACCTGGAACACTGGGTAAGACAGTAGGTACCCAGGGCTAGTTGAAACAATGACATTGTTGCCGAAATCACGTCAAAATATTACTTTCATCCTGTGAACGGGCTTTAATATTGATATATTAAATGTTGGGAATAATGATAAATGAGGTCATAAAATGCCTGTGACGATATACGGATGTAATGTGCCACTCATTGAAACGCAAGTAATTATGGATTGATTCGGACACTCAAATGAAAACCTGCCAATTGGAGCCTTGATTTATTCTCAACTTATAAGAGTGATAAATGTATACCTCAATATAAATATTTTTAATCAAGTTTTTCTACCAATATCGTTATTTCAGTTCTGCGGTTGATAACGTAATTACCATAATTTTCTGTTAAATTCCGTTACGGTTTAAATTTTTTGTATCCAAATCACTTTTCCTCAACGATGCGGTTGCTAGGGGTTGTGGCCTAGCAACATAATTATTAAAATGCAAAAATTCACGGTAAATCCTGTGAGCAAACCTTGGGACCTCAACAGTTTGACATTTTCAACATTTAATGTTGATTAATATACAGGGTGATTTAAAATTGACGTCATTCCTTTTAAGCGGTAATAGGGCCTCATTTGGAAGGTTCGAGAAAAATTTTGAAAATTTTTTTCCAATAATTTCTAGAAGGTATTAACAGTTGAAAATCGAACGTCAACTTTGTTATTAAGCATTATTTTGAAACGATACGATAATTGATTGGTAGCATATTGAAATACAGCATTAAAAAAAAATTACGATCTTTGCTTTAAATCAAGAACATTTTTGATATTACAACAGTTCGCTGCTTCAGTTTTTTGATGAAAAGTCAAGCGGCAATGGCAATAAATAGCCTTTGTCAATAATAACAATAATTTGTCAAACTCGGACTTCTTTGAAGCTCCTTTCACGAATTTGCGGATACACTTTTAGTTCTCGGGAAATGCAACAATAAGATAGCAGAAGCTTCAAAAACTCACGCCAACACAGAGCGAGAGGCACTGGAGATTGTCTCCAGGAAGATAGTGGACGACAATAGATGTTCGGGTTCCAGACACACAAGAACAATTATTTTACATAATTGCATAATTGCCTTCCAGTGGTACTCAGAGCACAATAACTGACAGTTTCCCAAGCAACAAATTAATACCGAGCAGGGATTACATTTCCTCCACGTACGTAAGATACACACAGCAGAAGAACACATTAAATTAATGGAATATTGAATACAAGTATTGGACATAATCGAAACAGGGCCTTCCCGGGGCACTCAGAGCACAATAACTGACACTTTCCCAAGCACCAAACAAATACCGAGGTAGTGCTGCATTCCTACCACGTTTGTACGATACACACAGCACAAGGAGGTACAAATTGAGCAGGAGTTAATTAACCGAATACGAGAAGCTGCTCGATAAAAGTAGATAATAAGGAGGTTACGCAGGCACTAACTTGTTTCGAGTTAATGACTGAAATGCATGTTTATTTGTAAATATAAATTCGAGGTTATGAGAACAATAATTGACATTCGAAAAAGTACGTTCTACAGTCAACGAATTCTGTTGAATTTGCCGTTTATCATTTTCTATTTTATTGTCACTTTCTGTACACGGTGATTCAAAATTGGCGTCATTCCTCTGGAGGTGTGGTCTGGCGGTGTTTAAGGAGTACAGAAAAAATAGTAAAAATGTTTAATTGTTATTAAAAATTGAGCAATTTGCAAAAAATTATATTAGAAAAACGGCAACAATGTTTTTCAAGGTAATCTGCCTAATTAACATTACGTAAATACCTGTTGCTTCGTAATTATTTAAAAATCCGTTAAGCATGGAATTATATAGAAAGTGACAATAAGATAGACAAGGATAAACGGTAAATTCAACAGGAATCGTTTAATGACGGAACCTATTTCGAAACTCATAACCTCGAATTATTAGTTTGTTAACAAATTACAAAAACATACATTTGAGTCTGTAACTCCAAGCAAGTGCCTGTGTAATCACCTTATTATGCACTTTTCTCGAGCAGCTTCTTGTGGTCGGTTAATTAACTATTACTCAATAATTTATACGGGTGTTCAGTAAGCCATTGGTTTAATGTGATCTTACATACGTGGTAGGAATGTAGCTGGTATTTATTTGGTGCATGGGAAAGTGTCAGCTGTTGTGCAAAGTTGTGAGTGCACTTGAATGGCTCTTCTGCAATTATGTCCAATACTTGTTCCTCTGTGTCTGGAACCCAAACATAGATTGTCGTCCACTATCTTCCTGGAAACACTCTCTTCGCCCTTTGTTGGTGTGAGCTATTTCAGCTTCTTACTGTAGCATGTTACAGTATGTTACTGTAGCATTTCCCTTGAACTAATCGCATATCCGCAAATTCGTGAAAGGAAATTCAAAGTAGGTAAATCAGAGTTTGACAAATTATTGTTATTATTCATAAGGGCTATCCAAATGTTACTATCTGTTGATGACAAAAAACATCATTGCCGCTTTGACCTTTTATCAAAAAATTGTAGACGAGAACTTTTTTAATATGGAAAATTTTCGTAATTTGAAGAAAAGATGGTAATTTTTCTTTTTGAATGCTTAAGTATTCCAATCCAATTAAACATGGAAAACTTTCAAAATAATGCTTAATAACAAAGTTGAAATTCGATTTTCAACTGTTAATACTTCTGTAAATTAACGAAAAAAAAATTCATAATTTATCTAGTACCTTCCAAGTGAACCCCTATTACCCCTTAAAAGGAATGACGCCAATTTTGAATCACCCTGGATATAGTTTATTGTCCTTTTGTTGAGAAAAGCGACTTGTAGAGTCGAAGATAAAGTATAGGATGATATTCGCACACTATGGCCATATCTTATCATAAGTTAATTTGCCATTGGCTCATCTTGTAAACAAATATACTCGTAGGAAAACACACACATTATACTATACTATTCTGAACTACTTAAGTACCCCATACCCCAGACAGTTCGTTCACAAGAAATATGTCAATTTAGAATCTGTATATTTATTGTGAGTATTTATCGCTTCCATAGTTACTTATTTTGAAAAAAGAGTGTAGGCTAAACCAGTACATAAAGCTAGTGCTAAAGATCCGGCAAATACTTAATAACTGAAAACGCCTACTCCATAACTATGTGGCGACATAAGAATGATCAAATATCTTTAAATTGTTACTGATTCCTTCAATATTCTTAATGGTGTCGGTACGTATATAAATTTTGTTAGTAATATAAAATAAACAGAACCTCAAAAATTTGCTTGTGAACGCATAAAATTAATATTATCAGGCAATGTCAACTAATCACAATGTAATTTACATGTCAACTCATTGTCAGATAAAAGAAGGGCAGAGGACATCGAGAGAAAATCCGGTTTTTAATATGTTTCTTCAAGTGGCAGATAAAGGATCCCCCTACCGAAATAAATTTTATATATCTCGTGACTTTTAGCTTCACGCAATTACTTATTATTAGAATGAGTACGGGGGCCTCCGCTTGTAGAACTAAGTGGCATTCACCCCCGCATTCCACGCAGCGGAGCACGAGAGT